GCACAATATCTTCTTATCATTTCTTCTAATGTCTGAATCATTCTCTCAGCTACCCATCCGTTTGAGGATGATAAGCAGTTGAAAAAGCTAACTTGGTACCCAGAATTTCAAAAAGATTTTGCCAAAAATCAGAAGTAAATTTTGGATCTCTATCACTTATAATTATTCTAGGGCAACCTACATCACTTACTATGTTGTTCCAAAAAATGAGTGCTATATCCATAGCACTACTATCCTTGTAACAAGGGAGGAACCTAGCTCTTTTGGAGAATCTGTCACAAACTACTAACACTGCATTAAAATTTTCAGTTCCTGCAGGTGGTAAAGCTGTCACGAAATCCATATTGATTATTTCCCAACGAGTCTTAGGTTCTTCGATAGTTTGTAAAAGGCCAAATCTTTTGCCAGTTGCTTTGTTGGCCTTTTGGCATCTCTCACAAGAGTCACAGTACTCAGACACCTGGTTTTTCCAATCAGGCCACCAAGCTAGGTTTTGAACTCTATTCAAGGTTCTTTCTTTAGAAAAGTGGCCAGAAGTAATACTGTCATGACACTCATTCAAAATAATACCTATGTGGCTAGGATCTAGCAAAACCACTGATGAGTTGTGTTCACGCCTGTGATATAATAACCCATCAAGCATGACAAACCTGTCTTCTAAAAAGTGTTTTTTCCAAACACCTTCCAATCCTTCTATAAGACCTTTGTCTGCGTATGGTGACTTAAGCAATTTCTTAAGAATCACCGTGTTACTGTTAGAGTCATAACTCTTCTCAATCAGTTCCCAGAATGAAGAAGACAGGCCTGATACTGAAATAGCCATAATAGGATTGCTGTCCACAAAGTATTCTTTCTCAAAAGCTGGGTTGTTTTCGTCATTAGGCAATGCCCAGTGAGCTAGACATTCAGACATCCTCATTGGAGATGGTAAGATGGAAGTAACCGGAGTTCCAGTCTCTGTCTCTTCTGCATCGTAGGCAGGATTATCTGGATTATTGGGAAGAGCCCACCTTGAAAGGCCATCTGCATTCTTATGGATAATACCTTCCCTATGAACAATTGTCATAGAACCTCTCCATTCTTGGATTGCAATCTGCCACCTAAGCATGTGCCTGTTGGGTGTCTTCATATTTAACAGAGATCTTAAAGCGTTGCAATCCGTGATCACATCAAACTCACATCCATCAAGATAATAATAAAGTTTATCCAGTGCCCAAACCAAACAAAGGCATTCTAGCTGAGACGCTCCATATTTCTTTTCAGATTCTTTGAGTTGCCGTGAGATAAAACAGATGGGACCTTCCATAGGTTTGTCATCAATTATCTGTACTTGATGTAAGGCAGCTCCTATGCCTTCCATACAAGCGTCAACATAAAGTTTAAATCTTTCTTTAGGGTCAGGATGAAACAACAGAGGTGCATTAGTCAAGGCAAACTTAATGGATTCATAAGCTTGTACTCTTTCTGCTGTCATTTCAAAGACTACAGTAGGACTACATAATTTGTAAAGACTTGAAGCCATAGCCCCAAAGTCTTTGATGTGTAGTCTGTAGTAACCTGCAAAACCAAGGAACATCTGCATTTCTTTTGTATTTTGGGGTGTGGGCTTGAGTAAGACTGCAGCAACTCTATGCTTATCTATACCTAAGGATAGACCATTAACAATGTGACCTAAAGCTTTAAGTTCCTGAAAACCAAACTGGCATTTTGACAAAGATATTTTCATATTCATATTGATAATTCTCTGAAGAATAATTTCCAAGCGTGACAAATGATCTTCCCAGTTATCTGAAAAAATTATAATGTCATCTATGTATATAATAAGCCAGAGTTGATTTAACTCGTGTGAAAATTCAGTGTCCATCATACGCTGAAAATGTGAAGGGGCATTTTTGATACCAAAAGGCATTCTAAGGTACTCAAAAATACCTAAGTGACAAACAATCCTGAGGAATTGTCTACTGTCCTTGTGAATCACATTTTGATGAAACCCCTTAAGGACATCCATGCACGTAATGTACTTAGCTTTATGTAATTTAGTTAAAGATTCCATAATTTTGGGCATAGGATACCTATCTGGGTTGGTGTAACTGTTAAGAGCTCTAAAGTCACCCACTAATCTGGACTTATTATTATGCCAAGCTATAATAACTGGAGTAGTGATGTCTACATTTTCATTTGCACCTACCTTTCTAATGACTTTAAGTTTTAACAAAGCTTGAATATGTTCTTCTAAAGCCTCTCTGCTTCTGGGGCTAGCAGGGTAAGGGGCTTTCCTCAGAGCTGGAGGGTAAGGTTTATCAATATTCAAAGTCAATTGGACCTTGTGTCCTTTAATGGCTCCAAATGGTTCTTCTACAGTAGCAAAGGCCTTCCTGTTAACAAAAAGCAATTGAAAAAGTTGATCTTTTTGTGTAGAGGACACAGAAGAACTAATTTTGGAGCTGTCTTGCACTTCTTTATTAAAACAATCTTGTTCAGGTAAAGTGACGGCTACTGTGGGAGACATTTCTTGATGAAAGTAGTGCTTGTCTTTACTGTCTCCAATCTTAAAGTAACTACCTGCATCATTCATGATGGAAATTTTGAAATGACCTAAGTAATCATTGCCAATAATAAAATAATTAACAACTGCATTCTCAATTACTATAAAGTCAATCACAAAGGAGTAATCTTTAAACTTTAGGTTAACCTTGACAATACCTAAAGTGGACAATTTGTCTGAACAGCTATGAAATTTATCTTTGGATTGACCTCTAACAAATTTTTTCCAATGCGGGCAATATTTAGCCAAATATTGTTGACCCACTACTGACTTGAAAGCACCAGAATCTAAAAGTACTTTACAACTTTTTCCTGCGCAGTTCATAGCCACTACTTTGTTGCTTCCTGTAATAGAAGTAATAAAGTAATCTAGTACATTGGATTCTACACAGATAATTCCTGGGGAATCATCTCCCAATTCTAAGTCACTCTCAGAATCCATACCTGCATCCTCTTTGCAATCTTCTTCATCAATGACATTTACTTTCTTAGAATTTTTAGGGCAATTCCTGGAAGTATGACCCATTTTTTCACAAGAATAGCACTTAACATCTTGATTAGACTTAGACGTTGGATTAGTCACTTTGTCTGTAGTACTGCCGGACGCATAACTCTTGTTACTTTGTCCGTAAGGAGTTCTTCTCTTACCTATACTGGTGTAGTCAGTAATGTCTTCCAACACATTAATTAAGGATGTTAGTGTCTGATTGTCTTTCATGGCATTCTGGGCAGCAAAGCTCACTTCTCCATCCATCTGTGTCAACAATTTGAACATTAAGCTCTCATGGTTGGTTTGAGGCTCACAAGCCATAATTCTCTTGTACTGCCTAGTAACCCAATTCCCTGCTGGGGTACTACCTGGGATGAACTTATCTTTCAAATAAATGTTCAACAATTTCCTTCTCCAAGATGAGGTCCCAAACTTTTTGTTGATTGCCTTTTTCCAAAAAGACCAGGATTGATCACCGACCATATCTCTTACAGTAGAAAACCAGGGGCGGGCTGAACCTGTAAACATATACTTCAGCCTTGAGGTGATAAAAATGTCTTCAATCCTGGCATCTTCCTGAATTGTGTCAATAGTTTTAATAAAGTCCACATGGTTATATTCTCCATCCCCTGAAAATACAGGCCAGGCTTCCATCTTGGTTAGACCTTGTAAAATGACTTTACTTGACTCAGGGGAAATTTGGATTGGCGCCACAGGGGTTTCTCTGGGTTGAACCTCTGGAATATCAAAAAATTCACTAAGTCTGCCTGGATCAGGATCAGTACTCTTATTGTGAATTTTGAAAAATTCCTGGTTGTTGTTCAAGGAAGCATTCTGATTTGGTTTGACTTCCGGATAAGCAGAGGGAACTGTATTACTGTGTGTGGAGAAATTTGGTTCATTTCTAGAGGCAGTGGGATATGAAGTTGAAACTCCAGGGACACATTTCATCTCACTAATTTTTTCCAACAGAGCATTAAATCTTTTCTCATTATTACTTTCCATTACTAATAATTTGGAATTAATATCAGAGACAGGTTGATTTCCCAATTCAATAAGACAGTCTAACTTATCATTTACCTCTTTAAGTAATTCATGCTCAAATTTCAATTCTGAAATTTTTGCATGACAAGAACAAATATTATTACCTAAGGTTTGATTGTCATTGCTGACAGACAAAGAGGGCTTAAAGGAATCATGACATTTCTCTGGTTGTTTACCTTTGTCAATCTTGATATTTAAAGAGGAGGAAGAAGGGAACAAATCCTGGACTGGTTCCTTTGGCTGATTACTAAATGGTACTTTGCCAAAATCATTGGATGACAATTTGTCTCCAAAGTCTTGTAAAAACATATCTAATTTCTTTTTATTCTCTTCTAATTTATCATAAACCAGTGAAAAAAAATTATCAAAAGCTCTATGAGATAAATCTTCTCTATTGTCAATGGATTTTAAACTCCCCTGAATATTTTTTAACTCATTCATAACTGTAGCAGGAACAGAAAAAGTAGAAATTTGAGAAATATTTTCTTTAACTAGAGAAATGTCCTTAAAAGTGTCTTTTGAAATTTTTTCTATGGGGGAAAGGGAACTCATAATCTTGTTGAGATAAGCAATGGTGTTTTCAGATGAGAAAGAAAGGGAACGGAAATGAGGCTCTATGGAGTCAAACTTGTGACTAAAAAGATTCTTAATATCTATGGAGGATTCTGACCTGATCTGTTTAGAGACAGCAGCAAAATTACAGTCAATAATTTTCTCAATAGAATAAAAAAGATTCTGCAGGAGAGGGACTAACTGTTCTGCAGTTAGTAGTTTCGATTCGCCCCTCCCTCTTGGGGTTGACGACGATTCCCGTATCCTGCGCTCTGCTCGCGCATCGCCTCCAAGGCTTGGTACTGCGCCTGGGTTGTGCGACTGAGTCTGATCATCTCTTGATGAATCGACCTTTGGTAAGCTACGCGGCGATTCTCTCTGGCTGTTTGAGAATTTGTACGCTGACGAGGGCCGTTCGCGCTCATCGGTCGAAAATTGTTTGGCGCTCTGTGCGCTTGGTTGCGACGGTTGTTGTTGCGATTGCGAGTGCGATTGCGGTTTTGGTTGGTCCTGTTTGGAGGGACTTTGCTGGTCGGTACGTGAAGGTACGGATCTGGAGCGGTACTCGCTACTGGTTGAGGGTAGTAGGGACTCGCCTGGTTGAAGAACTGACCCGCTTGAGGCTGCTGTTGATAGGCTTGCGGGTACGGGTACCCCTGCTGGCTGTAATATCCTTGCTGGTACTGTTGACTCGTTCCTTGGTGGAGGGGTGGTACTTCGGCCGGAGGATCGATCTGCATCTCCGGGTCTGGAGTCGGGGTCACTGGAATGTCCTTGCTTCTCTTGTACTTGCGACCCGTCGGCCCCGTAAGGTACTCCTCGCACTCTGCCTTCGGATCCCAGTTCCCAAACAGATCCTTGAAATCCTGAGGGTTGATCTTGTCCGCTAGATCGTCTTGCAGTTCCGAAGCTTTGGATATCGCGACGACCTTCATGTCCTCGTCGTTCTTCTCCTTCGCTTGACGGTAATATTCCTGGTACAACTTCACCGACTGCAGAAGAGGATGAAGAGGACGAGGATACTTTGCTAGAATATCGTCCCCGAGGCGCCCCTTTGAGGTCTTGGGCTTCGACCAGAGCTGGGCGGTGGCTCCTGGTAGACATGGTAAAACAAAAGATAGAAACGCGGAGCGATGTTAGAGACTTAAGACTGACAAATCACGATAATCAACACAAGCTAACCTGTGATAATATCTAAGTCGCTTTCGCTGGCCGGCTCGTAAGGTTCAGTAGTGAACGATAGGCTTGGTTGAGCGGAGGAGGTTGTAGACTCGGATCGAACCGTTCTTCCTTGAGGAACAAAGTAATTCTCGATTTTCTTCTGAACCACTGCGTCTCTCGAGATCTTTGGAAAAGATTGGAGCGGCTGAACGTTGATTGCTTGAACCGAAATAGGATTGTTCGGCTGAGTCAATTGAGAGAGTCCTGTCGCAACTGCTGTCTCAGAAATCTTTGGGCCGATCGGATCCTCCTTAGTTAACGGAGCTGGTTTGATCAGATTCTTCTGAATGTGTATAGACTTCAAAATATCCGTGTCGGTGAGTTTTTTGACGGGTTCGTTGTTCTTGATAGGTTCAGAACTGACGGACGACTTGTCGAGTCTAGGAGAGATAGACTTCTTTGATCGAGATTTGTCCGCTTCGGATTCCACCTCGTTGCTACTATCCCAATCGGAAGGAACAACCTCGGGACTTTTGATCTTTTTCTTCGACAAAGTTCTCGCAGGTTTGTTCGAAGTCTTCTTAGATGGCTTGGTAGAAACGCCGGTGCGAGGGGATCCCGAAGTTGATGAGGACTTGGTTGTCTTATCGACTGTGCAAGTAGTCGATGCCGCGATAGCAGTATTCTTAATCGGTTTCGTAGAAGTACCGGAACTAGGTGCCTCCGATGGAAAAGAAGATTCTGTGATCTTGGAAGCGACTGTTGCAGCGACAGCTGGAGTAAATCGATCTGACACTGTATACAGTTACTCGGTGTAAGCGACCTTGACTTAATCGATGATCGAATTAAAAAGACTTAAATTCAATGATCACTTACTATTTCGCTCGTTACGTGACTACGGAGTTTAGAAAACTGAGAACGACGAAAAAGATCAACCTCTATGAACAGATCGATGTAACTAAAACTCTGGTGAAGTTGAAAAGGACGACGTAAACCCACTTCCGAGAGATGAATCACTAGATTGTGATAAAATTCTAGTGTCGGGAGTAGTTGCAGGCGACTAATAGACAAATTGATTCAGATCTTGGGAAACTTTATGACGGTTGATCGGCAGCGATAGAAGGAATTCTTGAGATTTGCTTGGTTGTCCCAAATCGAAGTCCTACACTATCGGATCGAATTCTCGTTCTAGTAGAATTCGTGTGCTACAGAACAAACCAGAGTCAGGTGACTGTCTAGAAGAATTATCGAGGTAATCAGGCGAGTTGAGTAGATGATGACAAAATTACTCAACTAAAAGCCACTAGAATCGCAAGCGGATAACTAATAGGGCTGTCGACGCAATGAACGTTGGGTCTTCCGAACTCGTAAAGGTGGTTGAGGAAACTCTGTGTGAATTAAAAAGAAGAAAAACAATGTGAGTACTGAGTGTGATGATTTGTAGTATAGCAGAATGGCGGTTCCGGAGGAAAACACGCGGCCAGACCCCCAGTTGTCAGCGCAGGTCTCTTATGTGACCTGGCGTTGATGGGTTAAAGGTCACACTATAGCTGCTAGTGTTTAACTAGCAGCCAGTGGAAATGAAACCTCGCCTCGACGCTAGAAAGCGGAGGGGTTAAGCTCCCTGTAACCGTAGGGGACGCTTGCGGTAAAGTCTTCGCAGCGCCGGGCTTAGAGTGTAGAATAGCTCTCTTCTAGATTACAGTATTGACTTTACTGTAGTCTAGGGAAGGGATAGGTGGATAAGGATAAAGGGGAAGGATAGTTAATAGATTAAATAATAACCCCACTCACAATTGTATTGTAAGGTGCACGGGTTGTATGGTAATAATCTCTGGGGGGAGGATTCTTGGGAAGAAGACCTCCCCCTTAAGTATTACAAAGGCAGGGGTCAACCTGCCTGTGAGACCGGTGAGGCCTGCAGAGGATCATTTATGTATATAATCATAAATGATCAAAATATGTATTTAAATTAAGCTTTAAACCAGAAGTGGAGGAAATGAGGTCATTCAAGCTCAAAGGAGAAAGAATGATGTTGTCAGCCTATGTGATGCCAAGACACGTGTCCTCTAGCTACACAAGGTGCAAAAAGTAAGAGTTTTTATGGCAAAAACTCTGGGATAGAACTGGTACAGGTAATTCAAAAGAATTACGTGAAATTTATGGATTTAAATCAAAAAGTGGCCAATTTATATTAATAAAATTAATATAAATTAAACCAGAGGGGCCTGATAAATCAGGGGTGGTTTAATCCCTCTAAGGTATCGTGCAAAAAGCAGAGGATTTAGGTACCTGATACACTGGGGCCTGTAGCAGGTGTGGTTTAAATCCCAGGAGATAAATTTTAGGGGAAAATCTTCAAGAAAGGGTTATTACTTACTAGTAATAATCCAAAGGGGTCTTGAGGATCTTCTTAGTAGAAACTGGACAGTTGGGAGCGCTCAGAATAGTTGATTTTGGGTGCTGGGTGATAACTGGAGAGTTTCTTGAGGAATTTTGAGGCTTTAATAACAGCAATTTATAGTAGTAACTAGGCTAATTACAAGTGTAGGGGACTTGTAAAGGGTAAGTAAATTTCTATAAGGTATTGTAAAGCTGGGGGATCATTATTTGGGCGGTCAGAAGGCCCTTTAAATACCTGTGGAAGGCCTCAGGGGTTGCTCAGGGGAGCTTAGTAGGTCTTGGGAGCGCTTTTGGGCCCATTTTAGCCCACATGGTGACGCAACAAGGGCTGAAACCTTGGGGATAATATTCTAGAAGCTCCAGGGGGTCATGCACGAATTTATTTGAACCAAGAATATCCTTTAGAAGCCTGTGGGTAGGGGTTAGTCTGTTACGTGGAGCTATTTCCTTGGAAATGGGCCACAGAATATGCCAGAACTGGTTTCTGGGGCTTGTTACACGTGCTACAAGCTGGAAGATGGAATATACAGAGTTACTGTAGTATATTCATGAATATTCTAGCTTGTTTATATTTTTATTACACGTGTGGGGGCTTTGTTGACACGTGCACAGTGAGTTTCTGGGGCTTTGTGGCCCAATTCCTTGGATACTGGTAACCCAGAGGGGGTTATGCATGTATCCAAGGCGGGTAGGCATACCTAGCACGCGCGGGGGCTTGAGCCTGGGGCTCAATTGTAGTCAGGCGCGCCTGTCAACAGTGCGCAGCATGACTACGCGGCGCGCGGGCTTGGAGACAGTACACGCCACGCTACACTATCTTCTAAACTTTACACAACACTCCAAATCCGTGACAAGATTTGGAGTATATGCATTTGGTTATGTATAATGCATAATTATCCAGGGCCCGTGATCTAAAGGTACTGGTTAATTATTCATGGTAGTATTAAAGGGTGAAGGAGTGAGAATTGGGGGTACCTTTGGCTGAGGTACCCTGGGTGAATTTGTATGTAGATTTAGAATCTGCAATAATAATTAAAGTTTTCTTCATACTTTCTAAGTTATTTGTATATTTTAAGTGTTTTTGTATTATTTACATAAGTAAAGTAGTTTCTTTATTCTTAGATTTTTTAAGTATTTTTTATTATTTTATTTTGCTATGACAGGTTGTCTCTGCCATAGTAGCAAGCTGACAGATGTCATCTCTTTAATTACAGAGTATAGAGAGATGATTAAGATTTCAAATTGTATGTATATAAAATATGAATATTAATACAGAGGTGAATACTTAAGTAATTCCGTGGAATTACTTAAAGCATAAAAATATAAAAATAAGATAATAAAAATATAAGATTACATAATTGGGATTTGAACCCAAGTGTGTTGGTGAGGCAAAGTCATAACACAGTCCTTAACCAATACACTACAGTACATGTGTTTGTTGGTTAAGTACAGGTTGTAGACACATGGGCTACAGCCTCAGTGTCTGACATCCTCACTCACATCACAAACTATTCAACACATCCTCCCCAGAGACAACAATCAACATTTCCTCAGCAGCATCTCAATTGTTTTTTTTTTTTGTAATCAATGCACGATTGATTGTTTTTTGCAATTGATCGTGCTTTCTGATTGTTTGTTTTATTGTAATCAATGGACAATTAATTTTTTGAATGTTTTTTATAATCAATGCATCAATTGTGCTTTCCGATCTTTTTTTTATAATCAACGGACAATCAATTGTTTTTTGCGATTGATCGTTTGAATGTTTTTTTATAATCAATGAAATTGGACATTATCATCATGAGGAAAGACCAATGTAAAACACTTGAAACATAACTTCATATCCCACACTGGATGTGCAGTAAAATAAACCTGGATATGAAGTATTTTTATATTTTTTTTTGTTCACCTCTTCACACCATTTTTTTTTAAAAAAAATACACTGAATATCCAGTTTTTTTTACTCCATATCCAGTACTGGATATGAGGTACTGTTGAAAGTGAAATTGCTTCAAAGACTGTGTCTGGGTCACAAGAAAACAAACACAACACTTTTTTTTTGATTGATCAAGTGAGCAAAGATAAGAGATGAAACTGAGCCAAAGATCATTGACAGTAAGAGAAAAAGATGAGGCTGGGTGATCAATGATAAGAAAGTCAGGGTCCAGACAAGTTGATGCAACAAGTCAGAGTCAAGGCAAGAAGTCGGATTCAAGGCAAGAGGTCGGAGTTGAGGCAAGAAGTCACAAAAGAGAGCCAAGGGTGATGGATCTACATCATTGGTAGAGTGTGTATGGTGTATATGAGCCGGTTGCTTTGGAGCAACAATGTAACAGATCCAATCCCCGGATCGGTATTTATCGGGGATCGGATCGAAATGTCACCCAATACTGTGTAGCGGAATTGGATCGATCTCCGCTCTGATCCCAATTTATCGGCCAATCAGGATTGGCTGGAGCAATCCAATCTGAGCCGCGTGGGAACTCGGTATCGGTATTGCCCCAGCCAATCCAATCAAATCCCAATATTGTATCTGTATTGGGGGGATGAATTCCCGTTTGGGTCGGTCGTCATTTCCAACCGACCCTTGGAGTGGACTTGCCACTTACCACACGCAAGTATTGAAACTATCAGTACTACTACCACCCACCCCACCACCCTGTCTCCAACTGAACAACTCCCCTCCACCACCACCATCCTGTCGCTGTCGCCGACTGAACAACCCCCAGGCCCCACTCTTGAGTCAATCATTGGTGAGGCATTTGGAATCGGAATCAACCCTCCTCAGACTTTCACTACCAGGACCCCTCTCACGTCTTGCTCTCCTCAGTTGTCAGTTTGCTTATCACCCAGCAACCTCGAGTCAAAAGTCAAATGGTACCGTGTTGGTGTACTGCCCCTCGCTACTCCAAGACCACACCAACCCCGTGAGTCGCTCTGCAGCCGGACGGCTGCCGGCGCATCTTTCCTTGGTCGTTGGTTTAAACCAACTATTCAAATGGTACCGTGTACCACCCCCCCTCTTGCAACTCCGAGGCCAAACCAACCCCGCGCGCCGGGTTGCTTGGTCGGCTCACTCAATCTCCAGTCCCAACCAGGTCCGTCTACTCTCGATTGCCTGAAGTGAGGACCTTGACTGTCAACCATGCAGGTGAGTGACCAATACAATCCGATACGGTATTGCGTATTGGATCGTATTGTTATTACTTTTCTTCATGCTTGTTATTTTTTTGGGTGGTCACAACTGACATTTATGCCATTCCTTTTTTTTTTTTTTTTAGATTCCCCTGTGTTTATTTAATGTGGGGTGGGGTGAGTTTTTTACTTGGCTTTTTTTCTTCTTTCATCATTGTCTCTTAATGATTCATGACATATTTTTATGGATCATTACT